TCCCGTAGCACCGGGAGGACCCCACGCCGGAGCGGGTGGATGCCTGAAAGGAGGAGGCTGTGACCCCATGGGAAGCCTGCATGAGATCAGGTTCCTTGCAAGCCATTGTGGACCCATGGGGGGAGGAGCCCACCCCGAAGCAAGTTTGCCAGCAGAACTTGTGACCCCACAGGGGACCCAACGCTGGAGCAGTCTGCTACTGACGGTCTGCAACCCATGGAAATTATGGACCCATGCTGGAGCAGTTCGTGAAGAACTGTAGCCCGTGGGAAGGACTCACGTTGGAGAAGTTTGTGGAGGATTGTCTCCCGTGAGAGGGACCCCATGCATGAGCAGGGGAAGAGTCCTCTCCCTAGGAAGAAGAGGTGGCAGAGACAACGTGTGATGAACTGACCTCAACCCCCATGCCCGTCCCCCTGCCCTGCTGGGGGGAGTAGGTAGAGGAGCTGGGAGTGAAGTTGAGCCCAGAAGGAAGGGAGGAGTGGGGGGAAGGTTTTCAAGATCTAGCAGTTTTTCTCCTCTCCTTCTCTGATTTTGATTGATAATAAATTAATTTTTTTCAATTTGAGTCTATTTTGCCCATGATGGTAACTGATAAATGATCTCTCCCTGTCCTTATCTCGACCCACGAGCCTTTTGATTTACTTCTCTCTCCTCTGTCTGGTTAGAGGGGAGTGATAGAGCGGCTTTGGTGGGCCCCTGGCGTCCAGCCAGGGTCAAACCACCACAACGGTAGATAAGGAATGCTGTCTTTAAGACACAATTTTTTAATTCCTATCAGTCAGTTCATCAGTTCTGGCTCCCCTTCCCTCTGTTTGTCTGAAAGCCAAGAACTTTGCACAGGGTATTTTTGTCAGCATGCTTAAAACCAGTTACTGCATAATGGATGGAGGCCATGGCTGATGTTTGCACATATTACAGCATGTGCTCCGCTTTAACTTACAGTGTGTGGGTTCCTACCACGTGGCAAAAATAACGCACTTGGAGTTACTTATCATGAAAAAGCACTGTTGTCTCATTATATTTGTTGTGGGCAACAGGTAACAGGTCTGCATTAATCTCTTTCCTGTAGGCAGTTTCTGTGTGTCTGAATACCCTAAATGCCATCAGCCTAACCTTTAGATCAGCCTATTCACATTAAGAACAAATGAAATAAAAACCAGTCTTCCAGAAGCTGTTGGTGGCCAGAACACTGAAATAGAGTGATAAAATAACTAACACTGAGAAAGGTCCTGCAAACCTGGTAGTGACCAAGTGTGGTTTTCTTCTGACAGGAGCTTTCCTTTATTTATGGTATTTGCCTTTTTCTCTAGCTCAATATTGAACCTCCTGATGACCCTGAGGAAGATTTGAGATTGCAGCAATTGCAAGCAGCAGCAGCTCAATGGCAGCAGCATCCCCATCACCGGGTTGGATTTCAGTATCAGAGAATAATGCAGAAGCATGCCCAGCTGCAGCAGATAGTACAACAGTATCAACAGATCATGCAACAGCCTCCACATTTACAGGTGAAACACTAAGGAGATGGTGTTTGATATACTTCCTGGGTGACCTAGCACTTGCGGTCCACTGAAAAACAAGTAGTTGAATAATTTGTCATGGTTGGCTCATTTGTTTAGCTACTGTTTCTGCTTGGGTAGAAGTCTATATCCCTTTTTCCTACTGTCACTCAACTTCAGAATGAAAAAAAGAATTAACGGATGGTGATGAAGCTTCAGTAGGATGAGAAATACAAGCCTTTACACTTGTCGTAACGTTTTTCAGACATACCTGGGTGATACAAGAGCAAAGCTGAACACAATATTGAATTAACTCAGCTTTGAATGTTTTAATGCTGGAGAAACAGTTCAGAAGAAAGGTCAGGTAAACACATGATTGCAAGGAGTAATCTGGTAGCTGCTCTTTTTTACAACATTGTGTCATACAAAAATAAAATATACGATGATGAAGTAAAGATAGATGCCAAAAATATGCAGTTAAAGTAAAAAGAAAATCCCTGTCTCACATTATTTTTTTTATTCTAATCATTGAAATAAAATTAAAAGTCTTAATAACAAGTTTGGATAATTATATCAGTGTTGCAACCTTTAAGCTTTTAAGTAGAAGTTGATTACTGTATTAGAGAGTTGAGTCAGCTTTTTCTGGGTTGGTGGAGTTTCTACATAAAGCATTTCTTTGTAGCTTAGGCTGTCTGCTTGTTTTAAAAAAAAAATCTATTAAGTGTGAACCCTAAAAATCTCAGACAAGATCAAGCCATGGGTATTAGGACCTGTATCTACACATAATGTAAGACAGTGCCTCCTTGAAAGAAGCTTCATTGTGCAAATAATAAGATCTGGCAAAGGCTTAGAGAAAAACAATTGCTGACAGCTGAAGCAACTCTGAGGGAGTTAATAGCAGAAACTGAAATCTTGAGAAATAGCCACGTACTGTATATCTTGAAAGCACGAAGATTGATTTGGGCTTTAGCCATTGCTAGCATCTGGTAATCACACAGCTGAAGTCCTTTGATTATAGCTTTTCACAGAATCGCAAGGGTTGGAAGGGACCTCAGGAGATCATCTAGTCCAACCCCCCTGCTAAAGCAGGCTCTTCTAGAGCAATCTACACAGGACTTCATCCAGGCGGGCTTTGAATATCTCCAGAGAAGGAGACTCCACAACCTCCCTGGGCAGCCTGTTCCAGTGCTCTGTCACCCTTAGAGTGAAGAAGTTTTTCCTCATATTCAACTGAAACCTCTTATGTTTCAGTTTGCACCCGTTGCCCCTAGTCCTGTTGCTGGACACCACTGCAAACAGACTGCTTCCATCCTCGTGACTTCCGCCCTTAAGATATTTGTATGTATTGATGAGGTCCCCTCTCAGTCTTCTCTTCTTCAGGCTGAACAAGCCCAACTCTCTCAGCCTTTCCTCGTAGGGGAGGTGCTCCAGTCCCTTTATCATCCTAGTTGCCCCCCTCTGGACTCTTTCTAGGAGTTCCTCATCTTTCTTGAACTGGGGAGCCCAGAACTGGACACGGTACTCCAGGTGGGGTCTCACCAGGGCAGAGTAGAGGGGGAGGATAACCTCCCTTGACCTGCTGGCCACACTCCTCTTAATACA